ACCAGATGTTCAATCGATACTACTGTTCCCCCGAGGCATACTAATTTTATAGTAAGTGGAAGAGTCCACAGTAGACACATTAGAGGGTTAACGCCACATCACTTTCTTTCTTTCTTGTTTTAATTAACGCGTGACATCAGTAAGAAAAAGAAATGAAAACAGTCCCACCTTGTAGGTAAGACGAAAAAGTTGATCGATTTGGCACAATCAATCAACTTTTCAGTTTGTTCGGATAAACCCAGTCAGTTTTTTTTTTTTAATTCTTCTCGGTTCCGTCAATATAAACATTTTAACTGTTAAAATAGAAAAATCTGACGACTCAAAATGGCGGACAGACGGTATCTGAAAAAAAAACCCCAAAAAGAACAAAGAAACATACAAAACATTAACCAGTTGGAAATTATTAGACCAAAGAATCAGTACAATAATTCAGTTGCTGTTTAAGTTACGTTGGTTGAATATTTTCGTAAGAACCCAATTTCTAATTCTGCCATTATGTCCATCCAATCTAGATCTGTATCCTTCATTAAAAATGATTGTTGAGAAATCAGTTTAGATGCATTTGCCAGACTAACACATTTGAAAAGTTCTACAGTTCTTGCTTTAATGACTTTAGCCTTTGTTCTTATTATTCTGTATTCTTTCTCTCCGTTTATACTAACAACACAAGCATCTTCAAATATTACTACCATTTTCATTTTCATATACTCTCCTTTTGTGACATACTTAAAGTCAATTTTTCACTTCTTTGTATGTTGCCAATGTATTCAATTTCTTTTCTTTTTTAACTTTCTTTTAATTTCTTTGAACTTTTTTTCACAAGTTCCAACACTGCGTGTCTCAGCCTCAACATATAGACAATATTCTCTTTTAAGATTATATCTTTCTTATGACCCATGGCAATCTTTATGTATCTGAAAGTTATAAGATAGATATCAGGAAGTATATTCTTATATATGTTTACTTATATGATGAACAACCTCAGAATTGTAGAATACAATCTCACACCATCAAATAAGGAAAACATATATCATAACTTGCATCTCACATAATATATATTTTCCTGAAATGTTTACCAGCATCGATAAATATTATTGGTAAAACCTAATGAAAACTGACGTAGCGTATATACTGATTTATCTATATGAATGCCTATATCGACCCATACGTGAGTGCGTATGCAAAAAACGTGATTACATTCTTAGCTTAAACATGGATGAAGCATTTTATCCAGCAAATATTTGGGGTTTTTTTAGCATAATTTCTTTGCATCTCAATTCACATTGTCGTGAAACACCAGCATTCATTTCGTATTCCGTTGGTGAGAAGTAAGTTCCACTCGCGAAGCTTTTTCACGTGAACCCTCACTTTGTGCAACCATTTCAGTAGGGGGTGCTTTCCTGATTTACAACAGTCTTAAAGGTTAAACAATGTTAAATCTTCCCCACATTTCCCCATAAACTCTACTTCTTACTCTGTAACCCTCTACCTCGAGTGGCTCTTGCACCTTGTACAGGCTGAACGTCATTATAAAAAGAAAAGAAAATGACAGTGGTTTTCCAATGCCTAATGACTCTTACCTGGCTTATCTTAGCGAGAAGACATCAACTCTCACCCAACAATCTCTTTGCAAGACTCTATAGGTATTTCCAGAGAAAGTATTCAGACGAACTATATTTCACCAGTTTTAACCTTTACACCTAAGACCCACCATGCCACGCCCATTGTAGCGAACCACGTTTATTCCCTTCGCATTCCATTGGTGAGATGTAATTTCCACTCGAGCAGCTTCAACCCAAGAACCTCTGCTTTTGTGGAACCGACTCCGAAGAGGATGCTTCTCCGATCACAGCAATCTTGGCCTGTTCAAGTCTAAGACTACATATCACCATAATACTTGCCTCTTACTCAATAACCTTCTACCTCGCGTGGCTCTTGGCCCTTGTACACCATGAACATCATCATAAAAAATTCACTTAACCCAACCCTTCTCCATATATGATATAAATCTATCATATCTATGAATATGTTTATATACCTATCTGCTTTTATATATCAATCTATATTCAAGTATATACACTGAAAATAATTATGCCTATATCTGTATATATATATAAATATGAGTATGAGTATGTATACGTGTGTGTGTGTGTGTGTGTGTGTGTGTGTGTGTGTGTGTGTGTGTGTGTGTGTGTGTGTGTGTGTGTGCTATGTCGCGTACACTTTGTCTGCACAGGCGTAAATGAGTTCCGGTGTAACTTTTCCAAATATTTGATAAATGAAATAAATGTTGCTTAATTGGAATTGCTCAGGAGAGAAGCCCGTTGTATGCTAATGTGAGTAAGCGTTATAGATAGAGAGCAAATAGCAACGAGAAGAGGAATTAAAAGGATTAAAGAAGGAAAAGAAGAGGACCGAGAAGAAAGAGAATTAAAAATGAGAATGAAAGAAAAAGAAGAAAAATAAAAAGAGGCTGACTGAGAATGGCGAAAGTGAGCGGGAAAAGAATAACAGAAAATAAAAAGGTGACAAGGAAAGAGAGAATCAAAGTGAAGAAAGAAATAAAGAAAGAATTTTGTTGTATTAAATTCCTTCCCTTGAATTCATCCATTGGGTAGACTCGGTAATATTTTTCAATTACAAGAATTTGCTTAGAACAATGGTAACTTGAGAAAATAATAAAATTCAATGTTTATCTCTTGGGTAACCGAAAGTGTTCCTGCCGTTTTAATCATTCGATGGCATTAGAACGACATCGGAAAGGAGAATTTGATTTTTTTTTTCTTTTTGTGTGAGTTTAATTTTGCATTTTAACTTTCTAAATTGGTACATTTTCATTGATTCTAACTCTGGAGATAAAAGAAAATAAATGTATGACATGCAAAGAAATGCTTTGCGTTTTACTTACAGAAGAAGCAATGTGAAGGATTTCCTGTTTGAAGAGTGATTTACGAGATGAGCGTTTAATGAAACGCTCATCGACACGGAAAAGTGAAATGTGCGAACAGAGGTCGAATTCCGGTCAAATTTACTTTTATAAAAATCAAATGCTATCACGTGATGCAAGCTTGGCCGATCCTGACTGTTTCGATTCGGGACTTATTAGGCAGAAGACTTTTCCGCAGGAGGTTGCCATTTCTTTCTGCTGTAATCAAGGTTATAGGGCCCAGTCTGTTTTGCTATTCAACCCATATCTGGAGGGACAAGAGACAAGGCAGAAAATTTTCCCGCACTAGGTTGCCGTTTCCTTCTGCAGTAGACTGGATGCCAGTCAAGGTTATAGGGCCCAGTCTGTCCTGTTATTCAACCCATATCTGGAGGGACAAGAAAAAATGATAGTCAAGTGGCATACGCGATACACGGTTGGGCGATCATGTCTCTTTCAATTCCTGGCCTACGATGCAGAAATTTTTTTCTCGCTGTAGGTTGCCTTTTCTTTTTGCAGTAGATTGGCTACCAGACAAGGCTATAGGGCCTAATCGTCTCTGCTATGCAACCTACAGTTGGGGGAAAATAGATGGATTCAGATCGCTACCAAGGGTACTAGCGTGTAAGTAAAATAAACGAACTCGACTGGAATTCAAACATGTCCATTATCTATTGATATTACACCACACCCAAACATTTTTCTTTAGGGCTAATGCTCATTATTTACATTATTCGGACTATTGTCCTCATCTTTGTTGCCATATTTATCACAACGTTTCGGCCGTTGTACGCTCCAGCCTTCTTCAGGTGGTTGGAATTTCGAACTGAACCCCTTATTTCGCTCACTGGGGTAGACTGTTCTAGTTCCACGTGCCATGTTTGATGGATGTCTGAAGAAGGCCAGAGCGTACAACGGCCAGAAACGTATGGCGACAAAGATGAGGACAATAATCCGAATAATAAATATCAATACAATACCTCATCTCAGAAATATAGACAGATACTGAAAGGCCGAAACGTTTAATAAATACGGCAACAAAGATGAGGACAATAGTCCGAATAATGTAAATAATGTACATAGTACCTCATCTCAGAAATATACACAGATACTGAAGGGCTAATGCTCTTCTGAAGGTTTTATACTTATCACCATTTTTTCATTTGTACGTTTTTGTTCTTTTCCACTTTCTTTCTTTCTGTCTTTTATACTACCTTCATTTCTTTTTTTATTTTTTATTTTGAATTTACTTTTTCTGTTTTGTCGGTTTCTTTCTTTCTTTCTTTCTTTCTTTTCCTTATTTGCTTTTTTTGTTCTTATTTCTGAAAATTTCTTATTTGCTTCTTTTTTTGTAGGTTTACGTCTTTCTTTCTTTCTTTTTCTTGTTCGCTTTATTTATTTATATATTTCCTATATATATATACATATATATTTTCTCACTTTCTTTGCTCCTTTCTCTCTTTCTTTCTTTCTTTACTCTGCCCTCGTTTTCTTTGTCACAATTATCTTATCTGTCATTCATTTCCTTCTCAAACTCGCCAGTCTTAGTCGGTCCGTTATTTCATCTTCATTTTGTCTAAATAGATGGAACAACAAAAAGAGAAGTGGTGACAAATGAAGAAAGAAAGGAGAAAGAAAAACCTAGAAAAATAAAATAATGAAATATAATGAATGAAAGAAGAAAGTCTATATAAAAAAGAAAACAAGGAAGGACCAGAAATAAGGAAAAAAGAAAAGAAAGAAGAATTAGAAATAAGGAAAAAGAAAGAAGAAACGGCAAGGAGAAAAAAGGAAAAAGAAACAAAATGTAGGAAAAAAGCAAAGAAAGAAGGACCAGAAAAAAAAGAAACAGAAAGAAGGATAAAAAAGAAGTAAGAAATAAAAAGAAGGAAAAATGAAGAAGAAATAAAAAGAAGGAAAAAGAAACAGAATGCCGGAAAAAAGCAAGAAAAAAAAGAACAGAAAAAAGCAAAAAAGAAAAAAGAATGAAGAAATAAAAAGAAAAAAAGGAAAGATAGTGAAAGATAGAAAAAGAAAAAACGAAGAAACAGAAGGAATGAAAAATAAAGAAGAATCAGAAAGAAGTAAAGGAAAAGAAAATAAACAGAAAAGGGGGAAAATAAAAGACAGAAAAAAGAAGAGACAGAAAGAAAGAAAAACAGAAAAAGAAAAGAAAGAAGGAAAAAGTAAAGAAAGAAGCAACAGTATAAAGGAAAAAGAAAAGAAAAAGAAACAGAAGGATAAAAGAAAGATGAAACCGAAAGAAGGAAAAATGAAGGAAAAATAAACAGAAAGAAGGGAAAAAGAAAGACAGAAACAGAAAGAAGAAAAGTAAACAAAGAAGAAACAGAAAGAAAGAAAAAGAAAAGAAGGAAGAAACAGAAAGAAGAAAAAGGAAAAGAAAAAAGAAACAGAAAGAAGGAAAAAGAAGAAACAAAAAAAGTAGAAAGAAAAGAAAGAAGAGAAAGAAAAAGAAAGAAAGAAAAAGAAAAGAAAGAAGTAACAGAAAGGATAAAAATGAAAGTAATAAAAAGAAGGAAAAAAGAAATGAAAGAAGAAACCGGAAAAATGAAATAAAGAAACAAGAATTAGAAAGAAGGAAAAAAAAGAAAAGGAAGTAGAAAGAGAAAGAAGGAAACATCCTCATGATCTTAATCATTAGCAATCGTAACTATTCCGAGTCCATTGCTAGAATGGTCCTTGTCCAACTCCTTTCGTGTGATGGTACCATACTGAATAGTCAAACTCTGCCGAGTCAATATGAATAGAAATAAATCAAGAGTGGTGTTCAATTGTCAGAACCCGAAAAAAAATCCCTTAGAAAAATGAGTGGAAAACTGTTAAATGTATCCCCCTCTAAAACTGCTTCCTTTTAATCGTCTAGGAGAAGCCTGTAGGCCTTCCAGCAGGATGGCTGACGCAATGAAAGTAACATTACGTATTCTGCGTCTAACGTTTTCATTGTGATGAATTAGAAGAATTCTATTGTATCAACTGCTAGGTCCCCTGTTAGGAAAGCTCGTCCGTTGTGTCGTGTTAGGCAAGAGAGCTTCTCTGTGCCTTTTCTATAAACATTTTAATGGTAATTTGACTAGCTTTCATTTTCGTCATCTCGACTTCATGAACCTAATCGAACTACTACGTTGGCAGATCTCACCATTTTACTGCTAAAATGATTAGATGGAGCCGTAACAGTTTCTTCTCTCTCACTTTTTGCTTGTGGAACTCTCTTCAGTCTTCTCGCTTTTTATTATAACTCACTACTAATGGTTATAATATTATATCGTGCTTAGGCATTCGCCGTGACGTCCTTAGGAATTTACTTTTATTGACTCCAACGGACTTCTCTGGTTTACTTGGAGTTTCTTATTGAAAGCGTATTGACTAGTTCATTTCTGTTAAATCGCCACTTTTGAGATTTTTTTCACTAGTAAATATTTTATTTCTAAGTATCACCCCCATACACACATCTTTCTAGCGAGTTGACCAACTTACTGAACTTTGCATTTCTTTCGTTTTTGTTCAAACTGTATTTTTACCGTACGTTTCCTTTTTCTGATAACCATATTTGTACGTTCAACGAATTCCTGGGATGGCGGCATGGCAATAATTTAATACAGTACTTAGATTCTTTCTTGCGGGCTTTTCTGCAGTAAACATTTTTCTTTAACTGATTCCAATGCCTTTTATGGTTCCTTTTTTTTTCCTTTCACCATAATTATCCTTATTTTAATTTGTGAACTTCTTCCCACACATCTTTTCCATTTTTCATATACTCTGAAAAACACTTTTTCGCTAATTTTGAAAAATTGTGTGCCGGATTTGTTATCAGTTATCTTTTCTTATCTGGTATCTTGTCGAACATCGATTTCATTTTTCTTGACATCAATTCTGCCGGTGGCATGGCTGACGGTATATTGAAATTCGGCCTTCTCCGATAGACTCACAAGAATTTTTTAAGTGCTTTTTTGCTCACTTTTTCCTTACTTGCTTTTTTCAAAGTTCTCTTAAAAGTACCCACAAACCATTCAGCTTGTCTGTTTGACCTTCATTGATACGGCGGGTTAGGAATATGTTCAATCGAAAACATTTTACAAAATTATTTAATTTCGTTAACAGTGAATTGTGCGCCGTTATCCGAGACTATGGCATCCGGAATGCCATATCTTGCTAATAGTTCAGGTAAAAATTTCACTGTAATCGTGGAAATTGTTTTTTCGCACCAATTCCAGGCCACTTAGTAAAGCTACCCACTACTACAAGAGAATGTGACACGATTATTCGACCTACGAAATCTATGTGCAGTCTTGACCACGGATTATCTGTTGTAATTTCCCGGTAGGTGACTTTGCTGCCAGAGCACAACCTCTGCAGGCTTTTACTAATTTTGCAATGTATTGATCCATTTTGGTCCAGTATACATAGCTTCTAATAAGAGATTTCATCCATGAATTTCCCGGATGTGCATTATGAAATTCATTCAATATCCACTTTTTGTAATATGATAGATATTGTGGTTCTTTGTGCAAACATCAGTACTCCGTTACATCGTGAGTAAACGTTCAAATCTGGATTGCAATCTAAAAATCGTCTATCTTTCTTACATTGTTTTAGACATTTTCTTATTTTCGAAATAAACATGGCTTGTTCTGCTTTTACTTTTATTTCTTTCATGGTAACTGCAGTTTGCGTACTACATTGTATAATATATTTTTGATTTCTATTTCACTTTTTAATGTTGCAATAACAAGTGTCCTCAAACGGTTCAGTATTTTTGGTATCAATCTTGATAAACCATCAGTATATCCTAATTTTTCGAACGGTTGGCATTCCATCTTGAAATCGTAATTTAAGAATATGCTACCCCAGCGTTGTAATCTATTCGCTGTATATGTAGAAATTCATTCCTTTTTTGAACCATAAATTGATAATGGAGGACGGTGGTCCGTCTCTGAACAAAAATCTCTTCCGTGTGAATATTTGTGAATATTTTTCCCCTGAAATTATTATTGCTAATGCATCTTTTTTCGATCTGGCTGTAGTTTCATTTTTTGCCGGTAGTAGCGAACGCGAAGCATGTGCAACGGCTTTCATGTTACCCTCATCATATTTGTAGAATTACAGCTTCTATATCACTAGCATCTGATGCTAATACGATTTCTGCTTTTGGATTGTATTGCGCTAATATATCTGACGTTACTATTTTCTGTCCAGTTCCACTTTCTGCCTTTTTTTAAGCAAATTGTTCATTGGAGCTCTCAAATTCTGCATATTAGGTATATGGATTTGATAACAGTTTGCTAGTCCTAGAAATAGTTGTAACCTAGTAACGTTTGTTGGAGAAGGCATATTCTTAATTGCATTGCTCGACGGATCTGACTGACGACCATTTTTGTCAATGATTTGTCTTAGGTATTTGATTTTAGACAAAACAATTCGCACGTTTCCTCACTGAGTTTGAAACCGTACTCTCGTATTTTTTTCAAAAACTCTTTTCACATGCCTGATATGTTGTTCCTTAGATACACTTTTAATTAATATATCATCCAGATAAGCAACTGTGAAATTAAAATCTGCAAGCATAATATCCATAGTTTGTTCCCAAAAGGAAGTCAGTTGAAACCTGTATTTAAAAATAAGCTTCAAAAATTTTTCACCGTTTAAATTCGCAAAAATTTCCTCTGGACTTGGTAAAGGGTAGTTATGGATTTCTAAACAGTTCTTTAATCCTGTCGAAAAATCAGCACAAATACGAATTTTATTATTTGCTGTTTTTACATACCTGCTGGTGTTGCCCATTTTGAATGGTCAGTTCTTTTCAATTACACCTATTTTTTCAAGGCTATCTAATTCTGCGTTGATTTCATCCAATGCTGCGAATGGCACACAACGTTTCGGTTTAAACACTGGCGTCGACGCTTTAGCTTTAACTTTGGAACACCGACCCAACTCATCCGACAAAAGCACCCAGAAAACATTCTTCCAATTCTTCCTTTAAATTTTCACATTGTTTGTTTATTTAAACTTTTGCCCACATAAACTTTTGCAATAAATATTTATAGGTAAATCCCACAACTCAAATCATTCCATCTAGTCAGTACCGAATAAATTTGTAGTATTTTTAACACATAAGTCTTGGCTTTTACATACTTGTTACGAAATGAAAGGTTACAATTTATTTCACCAATAAAAAATAATTTCCCACCAGGCACGCTAGGTGCGATTTTCGAAGTTCTTTTTAATATAGGTTTTCCGTTCGCTTTCCATGTGGCTTCGTTGATTATTGTGATATCACTACCATAACTTGGCTAACAGTCTAACTCTCTGCCTTCGGGCGTAGAGGAACCCGGACGAGGCTCCACCGAAGGGCAGAGTTTCGTTCGGGGTGGTTGACTGCCCCTGAACCAGTTTATGCGGGTTCAAAGAGGGAATACTTTTGGCCGAGCCTACGGGCTCGGAGATCCCACGTTAAACCCGGCCTTGTGTCACATGTAAACCTCGTGGGGCGGGTAGCTAAATATCACTACCAGTGTCTAATTGCATTTTTACATCCATATTATTAATATTTATATGCACAAATTTTCTTTGGTTTTCTGTAATTATTTTTCCGTCGCAACCCAGTGCAAGAAATTTTTCTGTAATAACTTTTCTTTGCTTTACTTTTACAATGTGGCTTTTCATGTCCTACTTTTCCACACTGGTAGCATTTTGAATTCATAAAGGGACAGTCGTTTCCTAGATTTAACCTTCCACATCTGAAAGATGGATTCATTTTTCTTTTTCCACATTGTTCTTTAGCTTGTATGTATGCACATTCTTTTTCTTCAATTTCTTCAGAAGTGATTAAATACACACATACACACACGCTTGAGCGACCATCATTAAGGCTTGTTGATTGGTGTGCTTTTCTATATAGGACTAACATAAAACGAATCTCAAGCATCCAACGATCAACAATGCCTTGTGAGTTTTTATCCTTGGTTTTCAGATATGATCGGATGTGGTCAGATGAAAGAAGACCAAAAAATACGTCTCGTTAATTCTTTAATCTAGATGATCACAAAAGGGAATCACCATCTCTTGCTCGATGTTTCTTTCCTTCACTTCTGAATTATCTGTCCCAGGAAAGCAACATCGTCTCTCAACCATAATTAGAGGTGAAATGACACACGTTGCTTCTGAAAACTAATACGAATATAGCACCTCATTTGCCAAAGAAAAAGGGATCTCAATTTGTTATCAAATAATTCATTATACTAATTATCCGGTCTAAAATCATAACCTTTGTTGTTTTTATCAACCTATATTGACCGATGTATTCTTCGACTTTCATCAAGATTGTATTTTATATACCGACCTCATTCGATAATACTACTAATAATAATTCGGCAGAGACGATGGTGGACCACGGGCGTGATTACAGCGTCATTATGAACTCCTTGGTCTTGTCGATAGTTGCATATTATGTGCTATGCTAGGGCTAAATAAGTTTTGAATTCAGAGCTTTCCATCTCTTAGACTGGTTGACAACCGCGGCTGTAGGACCCAGTCTGTTCTGCTATCTAACTCCTACTTGAAGGGAGAAGTGATGAATTCATGCGTTTATGCTGTGGCTTTGTTAGGGACAGAAATAAAGACACA